TTTTGGTTTCTATGGCACAAATAAAGGTCGCAATTGAACATTTATTACCCAGGTGGCTTTTATCAACTGCTCATTAGTATGGGCGTCATGGCTGAACTGAAAGGGAGACAAGGAAAGTCCACTCACAGCCCAGTAATCCTCTCAGTTTGTATTAAGGGGCCTGTCCTCTAAGGAATTCTAATACAAATATATCTTCTGTGAAGCATAAGCCAGATTTATTCCTGTGTCAGCCAAGGCCATCAAAGGGTATAAATACAGAGTTATCTATTTCTATTCATGGAGGACTAGCAAGTCTATGATGGGGTAATTATGCTAAGTTGACCTTAAGAAGAAGCAGCAGTTAAGCCTTTATCTTTTCCCTTATTTAAATTCATTGTTATCTCCTTCTACTGTCATGTATTCATACTTGCCTGTCCAGGCTTCCTTTTGCTGTACTAGCTCAAACATTACTCCATGATGTCTTGCTGCCTCTCTCTCTTTTTCCCTTCTTATTTTCACAGTTGCCAGTTTTGCTCAAACCAGAGTTGGTATTTCCTTGTGCATACAGCAGCACTGGATGAAGATGCCCAGTCCTAAGGAAGAGACCTGGGAACAATCATGTAACCCATCTGGGTCATTTCCCTGGCAGGTAAAATGATCAAGCCAATGCATTCAATCTCAGCGTTACTGAGATTAATTGGCAAGATGCATAGACTCATTAGGTGCAAGCCTCAGGATTCAACTTTCCCAAGTAATCTGTGTTGTGTTTCTTGCTTTCCTTCTGATATGGTACTGGTCAGGGAGATGGATTAGGTGCATGAGCTGGAGACCATACCTCCCTTGCCCCCCTGTACTCTCACCTGTATCCACTCACCTGTCAATCAGACTAAGTAAACACCTCTCTTTTGGAATGAATCAGAGGCCTGGAGAGCGCTGGGCCTCACCCTCTTGCCTGCCTGCTCTCTGGCCCGTGTGCCCTCTCTCTTGCTGGGTCTTCTGGCTTGCTCCCACTCTCTCTCCTTGTGGACCCCTGCAGCGACTGATATGAAGTTCTCTGTTTACCCTTCCTGGTCCACTCTCCCTTAATAAAACCCTCATGTGCCTGTGTTTTCCTCTCACTCTCTAAATAAATGAACTCTGAACTTCACCTTGCTGCAGGCCGTGTTGGAGCCTGTACTTAGAATTCTTCCCAAAGTAAAAGGTAAGAACCCGAAATACTAATTTTTAAGCTAATCAAGCCCATTACACCTTCACTAACCTTTGAGGACTTGTCCTAGCTCAAATGAAACATCACTAAATGTTTTGTATAAAGTTCTTGTTAATGAGCATAGAAACAATACGTGACACACGATACCATAGTACGGTATGTGGTATTGGGCTTTAATACATTGTGCTGTGGTAAAAGCATAGCGTGCAAGAGTGTTAAGTAAATATTCATTGAGCTGAATTTGTAACTTGTGTTCTTTATCTGTTCCAGAAAATAAGATGTATATAGCATATCTGTAACGGAAACCAGTAAGTCTTTCTTAATACTTATTTAAACAGAAAATATTCTTTTGAACACTAGGTGTCTCAAGAATTACACTGCAAATACACATGTTGGGTTTTAGCTGTATCATCCAGTTAACATGTAAAATATAAATGGACCTCATAATTGTACTGCATATTTATATGTAATGTATTGAATTACAGTGTGTGTGGTTACCTACCGATTGCTGCATTTGTCTGTTTGCTTTGTTACACAATCTCTTACTCAGCATTGCCTCACACCACCAACATACACCATTAGGAATGCTCAGCTCCACGAGGCAAACACTGACTACATCTATTTTTCATAAACTGAGTTTCTTCCCTTGAGCTTTGATTAACATAGTAATTAAAGATTATACAAAGCTTAAATTGCCTTTTCACAAGTCTTGATTGTAATACTGCTAAATGTACAGCAGTTTAATACTAATAAATTAAATATTTATATAAACAATATTATTAAAAATAAAAATGCACCATTCCGGTGATTTTGAATAGTCCTTAAGTAAGCAATTTTCTGATTTAAATTATTTTATTGAAAATGAAAAGGGAATAAGAAAGACAAGTTTTTTCATATATTTTAAAAATTTTTTACTTATTTTTTTAAAATTATTTTTATTTGACAGATAGAGTTAGACAGTGAGAGAGAGACAGAGAGAGACAGAGAGAAAGGTCTTCCCTCCGTTGATTCACTACCCAAATGGCTGCCACAGCTGGAGCTATGCCGATCCGAAGCCAGGAGCCAGGTGCTTCCTCCTGGTCTCCCATGCGGGTACAGGGGCCCAAGGACTCGTGCCGTCCTCCAGTGCCCTCCCAGCCCACAGCAGAGAGCTGGACTGGAAGAGGAGCAACCGGAACCAGAACCCGGTGCCCATATGGGATGCTAGCGCCGCAGGCGGAGGACTAACCAAGTGAGCCACAGTGATGGTCCCAACTTATTTATTTTCATTTTATTTAGAAGGTATAGAGAAATCTACTGGGGAGGGAGAGAGAGAGAGAAAGAACTACTGGTTCAGAATAGCCTGGCTGGGTCTGGGTCTCCCACACACATAGCAGTGATGCAAGGACTTGAGCCAACCCCTGCTGCCTCTTCGGAAACTAAAATTGGAAGTCAGTCTCTGACTTGAACCTGGACACTCTGATATAGGATGCAGACATCCCAGGTGGTGCCTTAATTGTTTTCAAATGCCTACCCCCATTTCTTAAAGAGTTTTTGTTGTTGTTGTTGTTATTTAGACCAGTGAAGATTTGTATTTTTCACTTTCTATATTAAATTGAATTGGTTTGAGTATAAAATGTCATATACTTATTGTTGAGATGATTACTGTTTGCGTGGGGGAGGGGAGGAGAAGCAAGCATCTTACCCTGAATATTGGCCAGTAGGCCAAATACTTTGCCCTTGAGATCTTTTTCAATAAGGAAAAATTATGTAAAAATACGATCAGGGAGACAACAGGCACATTTTGATTTATTGTGTTCCTGGATTGACCCCTGCTGTCGCACTCCAGTGTGCATTTCCTGAGCTCCCCCTGAAGGTGAGAAATGCAAACAGCAAGCAACCCACCAACCAGACAGTTGCCAGATGATAGGCAGTGGTGCACATTTTCAATGATTTACTGGATCCCTGTCCACCAAAGGTGCTTGGTATCCTATAGAGATTCTCAGTATGATGCTGCTTCCCCCCGCACACTGGGGTTCTCCCACTTTTTTCCCTTTCCTTCCTGAACTACTTGAGACTGGAGAACAAGAAAGATGGAGGCCATCATTGGCTGTTCGGTTAGAGACGTTGGGTTCCTGGTGTCTCATTGGTCCAGGTTATTACTGTCAAAATATTATTACCCCATAAATTTTTATTTTAAAAAGAATTATGAAAATATCCATTAATAATTTTAATGATATTATTCATATCAGTTTTTATCTCTGTAAAAAAGAACTTTTTCTTTGTAGAACTCTTCCTTCATGGAGGTCTCACAGCTATTCTCTCCCTCTCTCTCTAACTAATCCTGTACTGCAAGTTAGACAACCCCCCCCCCCAATCATCCAATTGTTTTCCTCCAAAACAATACTAGCATAGGGGCTAGCATGTGACATAGTGGGTTAAGCAACACGTGGAATTCCATATGAGCTCCAGGTGGAGTTCCAGCTGCTCCATTCCTAATCTTAATCCCTCAGTTGCCCCTGGGAAATCAGCAAAAGATGTCTCAAGTGCTCGGGCCCTGGCCATCCAGGTGACAGATTATATGAAATTATAGGCTCCTGATCATTGTAGTCATTTGGAGAGTGAAGTAGCAGATGGGAAATCGCTCTCTCTGTCTCTGTCTCTCCCTCGCACTCTCTATAACTGCTTTTCAAAAAAAACTACTAGAACAGTTTTTGTGGCATTCCCCACCCCCCAATCTCCATAAATATTAACTAAATTCTCTTTTTTGATCCTAAAAAAAGGAAAACAATGTCCCTGATAATCCCCATGGCTATGTATTTATTACCTGATTAATTCATCCTTTTCACTCCATTCACGACCTGCTTCCTGAGTACTGCCTGTTTACTACGAAGAAGATATAACATCCTCTTTGCTGCAAAGAAACATGCAAAGTAGTAGAAGCAAAATGAATCAAAATTCAAAATCACTGATGTTATTTTAGATCTCCAAGCTCACTCTTACTGACTGATTGCTACCTAGTTGTATATATTAGATCCAGCCCTAAATTGTCATAGTGTAATCTTCCTTCAGTAGAACAGTTTAATAATTTGTTATTTCCATTGCTCTTCCAAAAACATTTCAGAGAGAAAAAACTAAAATTTGCACTTTTAGGTTATTGCATTCTTTAATCTTGGTACTATTTTCCTTATTTATACAAACACCCTTTCTTTAGCTAGCAGAAGCTTTATAAGAAAATACAGGAGGTCACAAGATGGCAGTATAGCAACAGGACTATCTGAGTCACGTGGGGAAAAATAGATAGTTATAAAGGAGAGAAGACAGACACCAGAGATAGAGCCATGGGAAATTTGAGACAGGAAGCCCAAGAGACCAGCAGAGACTGGGCATGTCCATGCCGAAAGAGCAAATAAGAAAGGGAAGCGGCAGAGGCTCGGACCAGGGAGGTTGGCACTAGCCTCCAGCAGACCAGGTGAGATGGGAAATCGTGGGTCCACAGAGCTGCAAATAGCAACAGAGGGGAGAGCTTGGTGAACTGCTTGTGAAGCTCCATGTGGGAAAAAAGAGAAGGTATGGAGGAACAAACAGAGAGTTTGGGCACTCCCTTGCCCATCTCCCCCACCCCTCCCCTCACAAACTGGCAGCCAGTTGGGAAAAGCCATTTTCTTTGTTTATATTTTAGAACATAAGAAGGGGAATGCTGCCTTTGCCTCCTGTGCACATGCCCATCAATTGTTAGGGCCACCTCACCACAACCCCCACCCAGGAATGAGGACCTTTTTTTTTTTTTTTTTTTTTTTGACAGGCAGAGAGAGACAGAAAGGCCATTAAGGTCTTCCTTTTGCCGTTGGTTCACCCTCCAATGGCCGCCACAGCTGGCGCGCTGCGGCCAGCACACCGCACTGATCCAAAGGCAGGAGCCAGGTGCTTCTCCTGGTCTCCCATGCGGGTGCAGGGCCCAACCACTTGGGCCATCCTCCACTGCCTTCCTGGGCCATAGCAGAGAGCTGGCCTAGAAGAGAGGCAACCGGGACAGAATCCGGCACCCCGACCAGGGCTAGAACCCGGTGTGCCAGTGCCGCTAGGTGGAGGATTAGCCTATTGAGCCACGGCGCCAGCCACCACAGCATTTTAGAAGAATTTCTTTCCCACCATGCAAGCTGTACAAGATGTCCTGGTAATCAAAAACACGAGTATACTCCATCCACCATTGAGAAGCCAGCTGGGTTCCAGTAGACATGGCTTGTACCAGCCTCCACAATGATAAGTGAGCTGGGCTCCAACAGCTAGGCTCTATGCTTCTATTTGCAATGTGAAGACACATAGCAGCTTATAACAGAGGGAAACCTCACCAGAAGAAAATTTCCACAGATAAGAGGTGCAGTTTTTTAAGCAAAGTGATATAACCCTGAACACAACAGATGCTAACACCAGGGCATCCCACAACTGTGAGGAAAAGGGCTGGTCACATCAACAGAAGAGAACAACATCCTCTAGCCAAAAAACTAGAGGGAAGATGCAAAGCCGTGGGGGGGCCTTCCTTTGCATACCTCCTCCACTCAGAATACTGAACAGAGCACCCAGGCCACATCCAGCATACACCTTTTGGAACTCACTAAAAGTACAGACATCCCACTAAATAATGTAGACACAAATTAAAGAGAAAATTGGCCAGAAAAAAAGAAAAATACACAAATGCCCCAAAACAAAAGAAAAACCATAAATAAGAATAAGGAAGACACTATGAGTCCCCAAGGGAGCACTACAACTCTTCAAAAATAGAAGGTGAAGATGAAGAGATAGAGATATCCCAGAAACAGAATTGAGAAAAATTAATCAGAAGCAAATTCACAGTCTAAGTTAAAAGCTCTCCTAAGAAATTGAGATATTAAAGAGAAATCAGAATGAAATACTAGAAGTGAATAATTCAATAGCAGTGGAAAAAAATGCAGTGGAAAGCCATAACAGAATAGGTGAGACAGAAGAAAGAATATCAGAACTAGAAAATAAATTTCTGGAAATATTACAGTCAGACCAAAAAAAAAAAAAAAAAGAAATTAGAAAAGTAAAAAACACTGTTGGAAATCCACAAGATACTATCCAATGACCCAACAAATGGATCCTAAGAGTTATGCAAGGCATGGAAAGAGAGAAGGGATTTGGGTCTGGGGCCATATTTCACTTGGTTAATCCTCTGCCTGCGGTGCCAGCATCCCATATGGTGCTGGGTTCTAGTCCTGGTTGCTCCTCTTCCAGTCCAGCTCTCTGCTGTGGCCTGGGAGGGCAGTGGAGGATGGCCTGGGTGATTGGGTGCCTGCACCCGTGTGGGAGAACAGGAAGAAGCATGTGGCTCCTGGCTTCGGATTGGCACAGCTCCGGCCATAGTGGCCATTTTGCGGAGTGAACCAACGGAAGGAAGACCTTTCTGTCTCTCTGTCTAACGCTGTTAAATAAAAAAGAGAGAGAGAAGGGATTAGAAGACTTAATGAAATAATAACAGAAAACTTCCCCAGTCTACACATCTAAACGTAAAGAAAACATCTTAAAATGTGCACAAGAGAAACACTAAATCATATTCAGAGGAAACCCAATTAGAGTCACTGCACACTTCTCATCAGATACCTTACAGACAAGGAAAGAATGGCAAGATATATTCCAAGTCCTAAGAGAAAAAAAAAACTGTCAACCTAGAATACTATACCCTACAAAGCTCTCATTTATTGATGAAAGATAAATAAAGATCTTCCACAACAAAAGAATTGAAAGAATGTGTAACTACTCACCAGACCTACAAAAGATGCACAAGGGTTTGCTACACAAAGAAAAAGAACATCTGTATGAAAGAAGATGAACACAGAAAATGACCCAAATTAAATAATTAGGACTATTAACAGAAATAGCACTATTAACAGAAAGATGGCAGGACAAAGTTGGTACTTAACAATAGTCACCCTTAATGTAAATGATCTCAATTCTCCAGTTAAAAAACACAGACTATTTGAATATATTAAAAATGAAAATGCATCTATTTGCTGCCTATAAGACACACATCTTACAAACAAAGATACACTCAGACTGAAAGTGAAAGTACGGGAAAAGTTGTTCCATGCTAACAGAAACCAAAAAAAAGCTGGTGTAGCCATCCTAATATCAGACAAAATAGACTAACAGAAAAACTGTTAAGAGAGACAAAGAAGGACACTATGTAATGATTAAGGGATCAATTCAACAGGAAGATGTCACTACTATAAACATATATGCACCTAATTACAGGGCACCTGGCTATCTAAAAGAAATGTTAATAGATTTAAAGGGAGACATAGACTCAAATACAACAGTAATGGGAGACTTAAAACCCCACTTTCAGGAATGGCTGGTCAACCAGACAAAAATCAACAAGTTGGGGCCAGCGCTGTGTCACAATAGGTTAATCCTCTTGCGGTGCTGGCATCCCACATGGGTGCTGGTTCTAGTCGTGGCTTCTCCTCTTCTGATCCAGCTCTCTGTTGTGTCCTGGGAAAACTGTAAAAGATGACCCAAGCGTTTGGACCTCTGCACCCCTTTGAGAGACCCAGAGGAAGATCCTGCCTCCTGGCTTTGGATCAGCTCAGCTATGGCCGTTGCAGCCATTTGGGGAGTGAAACAGCAGATGGAAGATCTTTCTCTCTCTCTCTCTAACTCCACCCTTCAAATAAATAAATAAGTCTTTAAAAAAATCAACAAGGAAACAGCAGAGTTAATCAAGACTATAGAACAAATGGACCTAACATATATCTATAGAGCCTTCCACTCTACAGCCACAGAATATACATTTTTTTTCACCAATGAATGGAACTTTTTCTAGGATTAACAACATGCTAGACCTTAAAGCAAGTCTCAGCAAATTCAAAAAAATCAAAATCATACCATGTATTTACACAGACTACAATGCAATGAAGATGGAAATAAGCAACTCTGGAATTTCTATAACATATGCAAACACATGGAAACTGAGCAAAATGCTGCTGAATGAACAGTAGGTCATAGAAGAAATCAAAAGAAATCAATTTCTGGAAACAAATAAAGATGACAGTGCAACATATTGAAACTTATGGAATACTGCAAAAGCAGTGAAAGATTATAGCAATTGAAGCCTATATCAAAAAAATAAACAAAATCGACACACCATTGTCCCAACTAACCAAAAAAATAAAAAGAGAAAGAAGACCAAAATCAATAAAATTAGAGATGAAAAGGGAAATGTAACAACAAACACCACAGAAATTAACAGAATCATCAGAAATTACTACAAAGAGCTGTATGCAAACAAACTGGGAAATCTAGTTTAAAAGAAACTGATAGATTCCTGGACACATACAACCTACCTAAATTGAGCCATGAAGACATAGAAAAACTAAACAGACCCATTACCAAGATGGAAACCAAATCAGTAATAAAGGTTTTCCCAACAAAGAAAAGCCCAGGACAAGATGACTTCACTGCTGAATTCTACCAGACAAACTCCAATTCTTCTCAAGCTATTCAAAATAGTTGAAACGGAGGGATCATCCCAAATTCTTTCTATAAAGCAGGTATTGCTTTAATTCCTAAACCTGGAAAAGATGTGAAAGAGAAAGAGAAAAGAGAACTATAGACCAATTAGCCTGATGAACATAGACACAAAAATCCCCAACAAAATTCTAGGCAATTGAATTCGACTCGTAAGAGTTAACTGTAAGACTTGTTCTCAAACAGTTTTGTGTGTGTGCCTGTGTGGGCAAATTGTTGAAATCTTTACTTAGTATAGATTTGATCTTCTGTGTATAAAGCTAATTGAAAGTGGATCTTAATGGAGAATGGGAATGGGAGAGGAAGAGGTAGGGTGATTGTAGGGGTGGGAGGGTAGTTATGTGGGAAGAATCAGTATATTCCTAAAATTGTACTTATAAAATTTGTATCATTAAACAAAAGGTTTCTTTGGGGAAAAAAAGAAAATACAAAAATATGTTGTGCCAAAAATAAAAAAAAAAAAAAACCCTATCTGCACAGGTGCTAGTCTGGCTTGAACTCAATTTTAAGACCATCTGGGAAAATGAGATCAGAGGAGAAAATTGAGGCTGTTTCTTTTTCTTTTCTGAACAGCATGCAAGAAGATTTAGGTCACCATGTGCATCTCCCTGCACGTGAAGAGGCAGCAGTGTGAGTCAGCTCAGAACATAAGGATACGGGACACGGTGAGTGAACAGAGAGATTCCATGGTTGCAGAAGCATTAATTCCTTCTACACAATCCAGTAGCATCATAGCACTTAGGTTGACAAGAATATAAATCATTTTTCCATCCAGAAGTTTGTTTTACATTTTTTCTTTTATTTAGTCACCAAATGCTATATAGTACCACAACCTGCTTCTCTGTATCCCGTCTCATCTGCTGGTATATTCTGCATTTAAACAAAAGTGGCTCATTCTGAACAGCACAAGGTCAAATGTCACAGGAGTCTGTGTCTGTGCCTGTGACTCAATTTTCCCTTAGTTTACTGAGGAGCAATTGGTGGAACAGGAGATAACACCTGTTGTGATCTGAAAGAAGTGCCTCTCTCCGTGGGTTACAAAGATTATTTATCTCTGAAAATCAACACACCATTCGACAATTGACACAGTATCTCATGAATATTTTCTGAAGTAATGAAAATTAGAAATATTATCTGCAACACATTCTGAAAACACTGGGTTTGTGTCACACAACACACTGATATCAGTGGCTTCCCATTTTCTTTGGCTCTTTCAAAATCAAAACCAAAAACCTTATGAGACCAAACTTATAAAAATATCTTTTAATGGTTTATGAAACCAACTCTTTGAAATGCATCCTTAGTTACACACATGCCTTCCTTTTGTTTATTCAGTGCTGATTTTAACAAATCCCTCTGGTGACCAGCTTCTATGTATCTGTTTTTCTTGAAGATATGCAGGCACTGTGGCCAAAAAAGCACCACTGCTCTCCCATTGTCAGAGAATACACCAAGAGATTAGCCACATGGCCACCGGCTTGGACTCAGCACATTCTGTTAGCACTGGCTGAATGTAATGTTTCCAATTCATTCTAACAGATGTGGGATTGTTGTTTTTCCATAAATATAAGGCCGACCAACCCAGGGGTTTATGTTTTTCATTATTTATCTCCTCTCTGGCAAGTCACTGAGACTTGTTACTTTGCATTTACATCATCCATTGCACATACTATTCCAGGCACTAAATCCTTTGACTTCATTCTCCACAAAAAGGCTGATACTCACTAGTCAAAGTATTTAAACCAAAATCTGGAGTAAGTTGGTGTGGTGATGAATGAGGTCTAAAGAGGTTACACTTTTCAGTCCCATAATTGGCAGTCCCAGATTTCTGAGCAGATAATTTCCAAGTATGAATTGTTCATTTTTCACTGGCTTATCATATTCCAATAATGCCCAATGTATTTTTTTTCTGTTAATGCGATCAACTCTCAACATACTTCTGAAAGATTTAGAATTCTTAAGCGCCCAACAGTTAATTTTCTGAGCCAGCATCATAAATATAAAAGTACTAGAGCTGGAATTTGGACTCATCCATTCTTCTCCACAGCCAAAGGTCTCAGAAACACACCGACACAATACCTGGAAATTGAGCATCACACAGCGTAATCATGCCTCATGTGTGAAATTTGCTGCCATGCATTTTTCCAGAAGAAAATTTAGGTTTATCCATGTATTTTAATAATGCAAACGTATCAAATAAGCTATAACAATTTGTATGCATCATTTTTTTAGAAATCCCAACATTGACTCTACTGAAATATAAACCATATAGTTTGGCAGTGATTTTTGTAACACTTTGCATTGGTTCTCTGTGTAGCAGGGATGCTTCTGGCCTGTAACCTTGACCGATTATGACTTCATTGTGTGAAACATGATGCTGCTGGAGATGGTCATAGAAGCATAAAGTCTTCTTTCAGATCATAACAGGCTAGGCTAGCATAGAAGCATAAATGCCCACCTCTGATGACATTAAACTAGACATGAGTACAGAGACCTCTCTTGTACAGTTGCCTCCAGGCTCTTATGGTTGGGTACACAGCCAGGTGGGCACGGGCTGGGCCACAGGCTCACTGCGCTACTGGCCAACATCAGTGTGCCAAGTGACAAAGAATACTCCCAATGTCACATCTCATCTTACACATCTGACTTCAAAGAAACATTAAGTAAAATACCCATGTGTGATGGAGTATGCTTCCCAAAACATATGCTTCAGTATAACTTAGATCTATGATTAGGAGCAGAAAATTTATTTCTCATAAAACACTTTTAAATAATTTCTTCTTACTGAAGCTACACTGCTCTCACTTTCACCTGCATGAAATTGTGTGAGAAAAGAATACATTGTTATTCCCAGATTAATCCTGTGGAGCCAAGAAAATTGGAGATAAGATTAGATCTACATGTAAATGATCTAAAAAGCTTATAAATTAGAGCTTTTAAGTGCTCCACATCATTAATAGAAAATATTTCTATTTTGTGATCTAGACCCGTCTGTCATGAGGACAGGCAAGCTTGTCCTTGTGGTTTGCTGTCATATTCTCAGCTATCAGAATACTATCAAAATATCACACGTTTCTTTTTTTAACATGTATTTATTTATTCGAAAGGCAGAGTGACAAAGAGGCAGAGTCAGAAAGAGAGAGCTCTTCCATCCACTGGTTCACTCCTTAGATGGTTGCAACAGCTAGAGCTGAGCCAATCAGAAGCCAGGAGCCAGGAGCTTCTTCCAAGTCTCCCACGTGGATGCAGGGACTTGGGCCATCTTCCACTGCTTTCCCAGGCTATAGCAGAGAGCTGGATCAGAAGTGGAGCAGCTGGGACTTGAACTTGCACCCATATGGAGTGCTGGCACTGCAGACGGCAGCTTTACCCACTACACCTCAGCAACGGCCCCATCATGAGTTCTTAATACACATCTGTTGAATAAGTTCACATACTTCTTTTAAAACTCAGTACTATATCATACATTTTCACAGCCCTTGTGTACTCTTGGAAACCATAGGTTTTGAATATCTGAACACACTTCTTTAGTCAGTTATATCATACTTTTTTTTGACACAATCCCATATTTTTGGACATTTAGTTTGTTTTGTATTTTATCCTAATATAAATTCTATGACATCGAGCCGGCGCCGTGGCTCAGTAGGCTAATCCTCCACCTTGCGGCGCCGGCACACCGGGTTCTAGTCCCGGTTGGGGCGCCGGATTCTGTCCCGGTCGCCCCTCTTCCAGGCCAGCTCTCTGCTATGGCCAGGGAGTGCAGTGGAGGATGGCCCAGGTGCTTGGGCCCTGCACCCCATGGGAGACCAGGAAAAGCACCTGGCTCCCGGCTCCTGCCAGGATCAGCGCGGTGCGCCGGCTGCAGCGGCGGCCATTGGAGGGTGAACCAACGGCAAAGGAAGACCTTTCTCTCTCTGTCTCTCTCTCACTGTCCACTCTGCCTGTCAAAAAAAAAAAAAAAAAAAAAAATTCTATGACATCGACCATTCTTGTTCACCCACATGTGCTACTTTGATTTCCTTAAAATGAATGTGACAAAGTGACTTTGCTGGTTCAAAGTATATGGTAGTTTTAATATATTGCCTATTTTATCTAGAAATGTCTTTCCAGTTTAAATACCCATCAGGGTCATGTGTCCGTCTCATTTTCAACTTTTCTCCCTAAAAGTATCAAAGTTCTAGAAAATGCTTTATAATTTGATAAATAAAAACACATTCCATGGACTCTGAACAAGTGCCTGTGAGAATGTGGATGAGAGCTGGTTGTTGCAGGGGGCTCACGTGCCTCCCTCACCTGGAGGTCACGCATTTTCCTTGGTGTTCCAGCAGGGCTGACCACTGAGCACAAGGCCTGGGTGACAGAGCTTTAGCTGCTGTGACCACCCTTCCCCCACAGCTCCAGCTACTGAAGAATACCGTGTCAGTCAGGGAGTGCCATCTAGAGATAGGAATAATTATTATAATTTCTCTCATTACACATATTCATATTTCTGAAAGAACAACTATTAAACAAATCATGTTAGATAATCGGGTCAAAACCAAGTGCTATATATGCCCAGAAATTTCACCAATTTCTCTATAAAAATAATATAGAAAAGTAAGATTTTTAACAAGATTATTTTGGCACTTGTAAAGAGGTAGAAAAATGTTCTATCTAGTAAGACCATCATCCTTTAGCAGAAGTTATAAATTGTATTTTTGTAAAAAATATAATTTGATTAACAGCTTTGCTTTGCATGTAATTGTTTCTTTGCCTCCCCCTCCCTTTCTGAGAGTAATTTTCCTCTCAATGGGTGTGGCCAAGAGACAGACAAGGCTCAGCTTCCCACTCAGAAGCCTGAAAATACACACAGTTTATTTTCCCACTCCCTTTGATGACACCAAGGGTGAAGCCTGTGGTAGGAGCCCAACCTGGATCTTTGCACTCAGGACCTGATCTCAGGGGGCTGGGGTGAGTTGCCTTAGAGGGTTTGCCTTGGCTGCAGCCATGACTTCTGCAGAATGATCTCATTCCCAGTGGCGACAGTAGTGACAATGTCACTGCACTGTTACTGGGCACAATTATGGGTCCACAGGTCCAGGCTTGAAAACAATGCTTGTCTCCCCCAGGAATGCCTAGGCTGTTTGATGAGCTTCTTCAAAATCTTGTAGTCATGTCCTTCTCAATTTTAAATAGATGGAAACAGTTTTTGTTGTAGCTGCTAAAGACTTAAATAGTCTCTAACCTAAAATTAAAATAATTAATCATGCAAATATGACAGATGATGGAAGGTGTGTGTCTCTGATGAGTACTTTCACTTAATAGGTTAATTGCCCAAAGACAGCTCTGGTAAGTAGGGTAGTGAAAATAGGATATCATGCTACAAAGATTAATTGCAATAATAGTTGAAGGTCATAAAAATAATGACTTAGGATTGGTAGTTTTACTAATGGAAGTTATTTTGAAGCTTTGATAGGCATTCTACTGACATTTATGTGTGTGCATACAGGAGGCGGGAGATAGGAATTATCACTTCATCTTACTTCTAAAACATATGTTTACCATGTGTCTTATGCAACCAAGAGTTTACCACTTTATGGATAGAGTGAGACCCTCTTATACCAACACTGACACTGGAAATGCATTTGTTTCATTTATTGACACTCTATAGAGTGTTTAGTAGTTC